TGAGGGAAAATTAACAGCAAGTATGCTCTCTCACATTTGACACTTTCTGATTCACATATCAACAGGAGAATTTCAAGAAAATAAAAATTAGGTTTTACCTAAGTAAGTGACAGTGTGCTTTGGTTTCAGACATCCGGTTCACTATTGTTGCCAAGTCTTCCTATAAAATACACATGCATTTCTGAAGCCTTGATAAAAATCCCAAAAGTTGCAACATATTAGCCTTCTCTCACCTTTCTACACTTAGAACTATGAATTCTAACTTCTTATTTGGTTGTGAATTTACTAATCATAATCTATAGGAAACCATTATACTACTAAAACACAGGACACGAGCAATATGGATAGATGAGTAATATTCACAAAGTTTCCAAAGTATTAGAAGCCCAAGCTGAATTTAACTGAAATACATGCAGGGATGTGTGAACATCAGCAAGATTTTGAGGCAACCCGACTTACTGGGGAGGAGAGACTTAGAAAATTTGTAATCAGACATATCTAGGATAAGACATTATACATTATGTCTTTGATTCTCTATTGTGCTGATTAGTCTTTTAATGCTTACATCTTAAAGCATTTTGAGGATTCCTAATGATGTAAAAATATCCCTGTCATCATTTGTTTATTAATCTATCAATTAATTCATGTAGTCAATGCTTTCTAAACATTTTCCACATGCCAGACGTTGTTCTAATAGCAGTGAGGTAGAGAGACTCTCACAGATTATTATGCTTGGCACCTAAGAATAAATCAATAAATCACAAGCAATATTCTAATAGACCCCATGATATTAGTATATTTGTTAACAGAGCACGTCACTAGAAATGTGTTGTTTGCTGACTGCTTGCCTTTTTGAAAGTTAATAATGGCAGTGATACTCTACTATTGCTAAGTACTCTTCTTAATGTATACCAATCCAAAATAAAATCTAATAACGATAAAACAATGATTTGGATTTAGAATTATGACATATATATACAAATATGTGTTTTGGCAGAACTGGGGTTTGAACTCAGGGCCTCATGCTTGTTAGGCAGGCACTTGAGCCACTCTGCCAAGATTTAGAATTATGGATAAACCATGAATAATGTTTTCTTAAGAGTAGGAATTAAACTATGGTACATAATTTTCAATTTCTTTTTCAGCTTCATGCCTTAGAAACATTATTTATTTCAAATACATGGTCTCATGAATATTCTTCTCCCACTGAAATTCAAACATGGCCCTGAAATTCATTTCCTCATAACAACATCCCAGATATGATTTGCTTTGTTTTGGTAGGAATATATCTGTATCTGTTGTTCTCAGATTATCTTGAAGTTGAATAAATTGCACAATAAAGTATTTTCAGTTGCATTCTAACTTTATAGGTAGAAAAATAAATATTTAAACTGAAAGTTGTATTCATATTCCTAAACAGTTATAACATAACTTTTATGTTATTTACATTAAATAGTTGTCTAATTATTTTAATAATCAACAGAGGTTATAATAGCCATCTGTGGGAAATTACCTGAGTAATTTCCATTTGCCATCTATTCAGTAGGCTTGTATAATATACCTCTGTGGAGGTGTACTTCTTTAAAGAAGTATATTCTTTTCCTTCTAATTCAAGCTAAGATTATCCAAATGTTATTACATCAGTAGAAATTTCACTTTTCTTAATGTGGGTATCTTAATGCATTTTAATGGCACAAAGTCATTCAACTGATCTCCAGGCATCACTTTTATACAAAATGCCCAGGCAATGGCCATCTACATTAAAACAAAATGAAATGTCAGGGTTGACCCTAAATCTTGCACAGCCAGTTTATTGGATAGTTGAATGATTTAAAGACTCACCATTTTAACTACTTTCTTCCCAATAATCATGCACTAAATTTACTTGAGTTAGATAATACAAACTCTCTTAATGGATAATGATAAGGAACTGTGAATATCAATCTTTTTTCTCAACTCAAAATAATGGTTTTCAGGCTTGAATATGTGCCAGAATCATACAAAACTTGTGCAGATTGCTAGGCCCTAATGCAAGAATTTCTAGTTCAATAATTTTGAGGGTAAGACTCAAAAATTACTATGTCCTGACTGACATAGTGGGAAAAAAACATATTTGACATGTGTGATGTTTACACCCAATTTGTGAAATGTGGCATGACAAGTAGTTACATGCTTTTACTATATACCAGCTAAATTATTGAATGATTTTTGCTTTTAGTTATGGTGTCTTAGCTTATCAACTAACTCTCTTGTAGGTATATTCAATATCATATAAGAACCTTTTCCAGGCAGATTACTTAAAACTACTATGAATGGTCTTTGTCCATTAGGTATACTATAGTAATCTATTTAATTATGATCAATCTCCACTCCAGAGTACCAAGAAATCTTCTGTATACTTGTCCTATACTTCACACTCAATCATATGCTCCATGAGTTATTTCTTCAACAGTTAGATTTGGGACTAGAAGTTCTATAAAGACAAGACTGGGAAAATGGGAGAGAAGCTGATATATCTACTCACTAGAAGACTCTTCTCATTCCCTTGTCATTTTACTTTCCTTTTCTTTCTTTCCTTCTTCCCTCCCTCCTTCCTCCCTTCCCTCCCTCCCTCTTTCCTTCCCTCTCTCCCTCCTTTTCTCCCTCCTCCTTTCTTCCTGCTTTCCTTCTTTCCTTCCTTCTTTTCCCTTCCTTCCTTCCCTCCCTCCCTCCACCCTTCCCTCCCTGCCTTCCTCCCTCCCTCCCTTCTTTCCTTTCATCTTCTCTTTCTCTTTCTTTCTTCCTTCATTTGTAATAATGAGGTTTGAACTCAGGGGATCATACTTTAGAGGCAAGTGCTCTACCCCTTGAGCCACATACCCCACCCTATTTGTTTTAGTTTCATTTTAAAGATAGAGTCTTGCATTTTTGCACAGACTGATATTGTCCTACTATCCTCCTATTTTGACTCCCCACACATCTGAGACTATAGGCATGTACCACCACTTAAGGCTTGTTTTTGAGATAGTGTATTGTTAGCATTGTTCCCCAGGCTGGTCTCCCATCTCAACTTTCTGTGCAGCTGGGAATATAAGAGTCCATCATCATGCCAGTCTTCATGTACTAACATGCACATCCTGCACAGTTGTTCCTAAGTGGTCAGATCTTTTTTGTTGTTGCTAAATACTTGTACAGTCATGCTGTCTGAAGGAGCTATCTATGTTTCTAACCTATATTCCTGATTTTCATGAAAGCATAACCCCAGGGCATCTCTTTGAACATAAATGTCAAGGCAAATGTGCTATGTGGTTAGCTGTAGTAAATACAATTCAATTCTCTTCTAATCTGATAGCATTGTGTTTCTGTTTGTGTAATACCAGAGATGTTCCACTTATCAAAGTGCCATCTCATCAATAACTGGCAATGTCCCTAATAAAACAGCAACAGCAACAATGACTATGACTAACATTTCACTGAACATTTAGTAAGAATGAGACTCTGGAACAAAATGTTTACATCAATAGTCAAGAGAATTCTATGAGAAAGCATACTCTTGGCATTTTAGGCACTAAAGGAAAGTGGGTTTCAGAAAGAGCAAAGGAACCAACTCCCTCAATCTTATACTAAAAGTAAGGAGTAAAACTGAGAGTTCAATAGGGGCAGTTTAATTTCAAATTCTTTTCTTATAATGACTACCTCACTCTCTTAACCATAAGTTATATTTTTTGCATTTTGTTCTATGTTGTGACTCAAATTAATTACAATTATAGTAAGCATGAGACATTTTAACTAGACAAGGTTCTTAAAAAATTCAAACACAAAGTAATATATGCTACATTTAAAAAATCGAGAAATGGAACTTAAAAGAAATTATAGCAATCCTAAATTTCATGCATTGCCAATCATATGCTATGTACTTGATATAATGCAAAATACCAACATTGTTAAAAGTTTGGAAATTGTGGTTCACATGTTTGTTTAGATCATAAGCTATAAGACAATGTGATTCTTTCACAAAATGAATTATTTTCTCTTTAATGAAATTTGTGTAGTGCAATGGGACATAAATGTTTAAACAGACAAATATAGAATCATTTTTATACTAAATCTGTTATCACATTGGTGGCTATGCTTCTTTGACATTTCTTATAGGAATTATATGGTAGTTATTTCCAATAGAAGGTTAAACTATACTTTATGTTAGTTTTTATCTTATGTTTCATATTGAAGTGCTAAATATCTTGGAATCATAAATAAGAATCAAGATTATTCTTTGACATCCCAAGTAGCAACTTAGCATTAAGTTAGTGAAGTTTTGCAAATGAAACAAGCACATTCAATAGGCACTGATTCCAAAAATCTGTATCTACCCAAACAGTTCTCTGAACAGTGGTAATTCTTCTAATCCCTGTAAATTATTCATCTCAGGGTACACTCCAAAGCATTGTTTGCATATGCTATCCACTAGCTTTAAAAACAGTATTCATTATTGGGATGGAACAGATGCAGCTCATCAGAAAGGTTTGTTGCAGCGATGTTTGTGCCGAGGAACATTCTATTTGGCAAACACTTGTAATCTGATGAGTAAAATGAAAGAAGAATTGTGAGGATTCATGATTTAAGTCCTTTACCTCCAACATCCTCCAAAGAGCCACACTGTTGTCACTGTAACAATTCCAAATCTCATTCTAGATGCCCGTAAATACTCAAATTGGAAAGAAACCTGTAATTGCCCAGTGGAATTTTCAAATATACTTAACTTTGCTATTTCAAGCCACAGACACCAAATGGACATGAAGGTAATGTTCTTAATTTTCATCAACTTATCAAAGCTGTGGTTTTATAGTGATGATTTTTTCTTCTACTTCTTGGCACAAACCATCCATAACAATTTAGAAAGCTGAAAGCTAAGAGTTTTTGGGCCAAAAAATCACACCACCGAAGGGATATCATTAAGATTTTAAAGACAATAGGAGTCCTCTGATGTAATCAGAAATGCTGATGTTAATTTTATGTTACAGGTTATTCAAACAGTAAGTGCAATGGACAAAGATGATCCCAAAAATGGACATTATTTCTTATACAGTCTTCTCCCAGAAATGGTCAACAATCCAAATTTCACCATCAAGAAAAATGAAGGTAAATATATTAGCTTTATGACATAGGGTAGAATGTAATTTGGAATGTGGTGTTCAGTTTTATAATATAATCAAAAAATATCATTAAACTAATTTTTTTCTTCACCCCTAAGTGGTTGAAATTCAGTTTATCAGCCTAATAGCATGGTAATTACATCACTTCCACTTGCCGATATTGAAACAATAGATAAGAAAAATTGTTAATGTGAAAGTTAATTTTATCCCAGGGAATACCTGAATCACCTTACTTGAAAAATTGAAAAGAGTAGGCTTTAACTCCTGTGAAAGCTTCCAGGAACTTTGAGATACTGAGATATCTGTCAGAGGAGGAACTGGCTTGCACTTTGCAGTTGTTAAGTTTTAATTGAATGTTTACAAAGTCTTTAGGGAATGTCTATTCTAATTTTGCCTGTTTTTTGGTACATATTAGACATATTTGTTTTAAGCCTGTACCAACTTTAATAACAGCAATTAGATCAGAAAATCCTTCTTGAAGGACACTTCTTATCAGTATTATTTTGGCGCTAAAATAAACTAATTTTATTGTTAAGCCTTTCACTCACAGAGAATATTTAATCCATTTCATTAGCTCTTAGTGAACTCAGTTTGGATAACCATTTCCTTTAACTATGTTCTATTGCATATGAAGGACAAATTAGGTTTTTTTTTTAAGTTTAGCTTATATACACAATAATGTTTCCTAAACTGCTATATGTTTAACAAGGAATTTTATATTTATTCTTATTCTAATGTATTTGTTTTAGTTTTAGCTGCTTTAAAATGATTACAAAATATAAGTATTCTTTCATACTGTATTCTGTCAACTTAATTTTTGAATGATTGACATACAAGCTATACTCAACTAGGAATATCAAATTCAGTTCATGATATCTGTTTTATTTCCTAAATCTGTTTAAAGGAGGCAGTGAATTTTGATGAAACTTCCTTCATGAAATAAAATGATATTTTTGGGTGGGTGTTAAATATATTATGGCCTTACCTTTTATCATATGCTACTTAATTCTTTGTGACTGCTTTGATAAATGTATATGCAGTACAGAAAAGAAAATTAAAAAGTCATTATGCAGATATTACTCACTTAGCTTTGCTTCCACTACTATAAACTATAAAGAAACACAATCCTGTTATCTCTCCTCAAAAATGCAGTACTCACCTGTTTGTCATCCCTAAGTAGGAAATTTAATCCCAGAAAATTGCTTTTGTTCCTATATTAATTCTGTGAAGATTTCCCTTTCATGAATATATCTTTGGCATGAATATATCTAAGATACCCACCTCCCATCAGAAACTCCAAACTGAGCTAAAAGTCTGTGTGTAAGTGTGGTCCATATTTATTTTGATTGTGAGCTAATCAGCATCTGGAATTATTTTTACATACAAAATATCCTACATTTAAAACTCTCCATGAAGAAATGTTTTCTCACTGTAAATATTCAAAGAGTTTTGGTGTCTTTAGTCCATCCTATAGTTTCAAGATATGCTTCATATATTTGTGACTCTGGAAGGCATTAAACAAGTGTTGGGTGAAAAAAAAAGTTTTATTGGGTCACAAGGAAAGTGTAATTTTCATCTACACCTGAAATTACTTAATATTTTAATAAGAATTCATCCCATAATGAGTGAATTTCATGTCCTTTTTTCAAATTTAGACTTAGTAGACGCAAAAAGTTGGTAAGTATATAAACCTTCTTTCTGTGAAATTGTACATTTCAATAAATCCTGAAGTAGAATATATAAATTCTATTGTGAATACTTGTTTTATTTTGACTCAACAAAAAAACCGAATAGGTTTTTTTTTTAGTTTTCTAATTTTTTAAAATGTTATGCATTACAAAATGAGTCAGGCTAGAAAGGACATTCTCTGTCATGATTATTTATTTTAAATTTTGTATTCATCTGTTTTGCAACGAGTGGCCATATAATTTATTATTCCAACTGTAACAATTTTTTAAAAGTGAAAGGGGTTGCTGTTAATATTTATGTCTGGAAAACACCATAAACCAGGACTGTCTTGTAAGAAAATAGGACATATGTTCTCTGAGAATTTGGATTTAGGATCCAAACATTCAACATCTTCTCATAGAATAAATCATGACCCCTACAGGTATTTGGAATAGAGATGTAAAGTTTATACACTATGTTCCATTACCTAGATCAGAAATTCGTGAGTTTTACTCTATAGACCACTAATTCTTTGCTGTCAGGATACTTACTATGAAAATGGAAGAAACTAATTGTATTTTCTTAATAGGCAGAAACAATTAAAGAAATGGAAAAGGTTTATCAAACTTAAACTATTATCATAGATAGATAGATGATAGCTAGATAGATAGCTAGATAGCTAGATGATAGATAAACAGTTTGCCAGATATCCTGTGGGCCTGTTCCTAGTTCATGGTTAATGATGGGAGATCATAAAAACAACTGAAAAACTCAATATATTTATTTTAATCTATGATATTGGGAATAGGAAGAGATAAAGTCAAATAATCATATTTGAAATGGACTTTAAAATAGTCAGTAGCTAATATTCTCCACTGAGGTCATCATGAATTACAAGTTCCCACCCACCAGAACAATGTTAAGATTTTGTGATGACCAATATACTTAAATCTGTAATTGCTGAGTGGGTTATTCTCCCACCTAACTTGATCTTCAGTGAGGCTGTTTCAGTATTTGACATTTTCTGAGGAACTTGCAGCCATGCCTTTCAACCCAAAATTATTGTGATTTTCCTTATATTATAGATTGATCCTGATGTGATTTTCATCCTACTAATTCATAATCAAAGACAAGATGAGATAGAAATGAGCTGTCTCTTACAGCCTACACACTTGAATGATTTCACAAACAACTCTCTACTAAATATATGAGAATCATATTCCTGCCATAATAGGAAGGCAATTTCCAACCTGAAGAATGGTAAAATGAAAGGTCAAAAATTGACAGGCATTTGTATCACATGTACACAATAACAACAAACATAGTATCTTGAATTTTCTAATTAAAAAGCCCAGACACTGGTTTCTTCATCTTCCAGTTGGGTGAATTTACAAAGAGTTTTGCTGACCACATTTCACTGTTCACTTTTATTCTAACTGTGGAAATGGAAAAATACCCAACAATTCAATATAAGAAGACAGGGAAGATAAGTGGACCTTTTACAAATACTGAAATATCTTGCTTTCAGGAAATTTGAGGTCTATAGAAACCTTCTCTTCTCCAGCCTGCACAATGTTGGTAAAATATTTGATTGGAATTGCCAGAGAACAGTCTGGTCAAATGGGAGTTTTTAGGGTTTATTCTGAAATGTTTGAATCATGTGTGTTGAGAAATGAGGGAAAACCTGAAGCTGAGCTCTCAGAGCGAGTGGGAGGGAGAGAACACACAGTAGTCTTGAACTTATTTATTACCTTGTTGTGCTTAGGAAATGCAGAAAAAGATCTATAGAATCTAATGACACTAAGTTTTTCTTTTTGATATTAGCTAGTTAAATGAAATTTTATTGTTAAGAATCTCAGTTATGGACTGGTGAAATATCTCAGTGCTGGAGTGCTTAACTGTCATGCACGAGGGTCCTAGATTTAACAACCAGCATTGTAAAAGTAAATAAATAAATGAATAAATAAATAAGAGACTCAGTGTAAAGGAGAACTTTTGATAATTATTCTAAATAACATAGATGGAGATTAGAACTTTAGAATAAACAGGCTTGTGTTATCTCAATGTCTATAACAGTTACTTTTCAGGGTATAATTCGTGATTTGTCTTAAAAATTTCCATCTAAACTGAATATCCTACTTGACGTCTATCTGTATTACATCCTTTTATTCAGTAGCAGAATCCCTGGCAAGAACACTCATAGTATAAGCAAATTATTATATGTTTCAATTTCCTTCCCTGTAATATCAAGATAAAAATACTTAGCTGTGTCTGAGTTGTGCTGTGATGGACATGTGTAAACCAGGACTGAGATATTTTCACACATAGAAAAGTATTACAAGCTGATAAATGGCAGTTTTTTAAAAAATAAACCCAGTAACTATAACTTGTATTTATTTAGTTTTGGGGCACTACTAAGATTTGAACTCAGGGCCTTGCATTTGATAGGTGCTCTACCACTTAAGCCATTCTGCCGTCCCTTTTGGGTTCAGTTGTTTTTCAGATAGTGTCTCATGCCTTTTCTCTGGGTTGGGCCAGCTTCAGACAGTAATCCTTCTACCTCTCCCTCCTGAGTAGCTGGGACCACAGGCATGTGCCACCCAGTCTGGCTTGTTTTGAAATAGTCTTACTAACTTTTCCTCAGCTGGCTTTAAATATCAATCCTCACCTCTTCTCCTCTCGTGTAGTTGATATTACAGGCATGCACCACCATGCCTGGCAATTCTTAAATTCTCATATTACATTACATTTTCTCTGGCATATCATCTTCAAGCAGGTGTCTTTTAATTTTTACTCTACACATGTTTTTAATGTTAAGGAGTAAATTTGAAATGGTTCTCATCAATATTTCGGAAGACAATGATACAAGAAATCAATCGGTACAATACCGCAATGTATTATAGTCTAAACGGCATTATAATAGAAAGTCTAAGGATAAAAAGCAGGGTGAAGTCAAAGACAACAGTGAAATGGCCCAATGGAGTGGCTCAAGTGATATAGAACCTGCCTAGCAAGCATAAGGCCCTGAGTTCAAATTTTATTTCAATAAATAAATTTTTAATTTTATTTTCTATATCTCTTTTGTCTAAATGAACCTCAGTTTTCTCCACACAATAGCAAAGATCAGCTTCAACTTGCTAGGGTCACTTTATATTCTAACATATCAAGTGGTAGGAACCATTTTGCATAGGCTTGAAAATTGCAGCCTTGTTTGTACTTTTGACTACTGTTAGCTTATCTCAAACTCCTCTTGTCATAAAATCCAAATTTGCTGCCTGAAAATGGAAGTGGATTTCCCTGACTCCCTTCTCCCACTGA